CGCTAAATAGACGATATATCGATGCCAGTTTCAGCGATGTTTTAACATCGAATTATGCTCCTAAAATTTTTTGACTGGCCATGAATTTTAATATTTATTCTTTTAAAAGGAACATTCAGAAATTCTGAGTTTACTCTTATCTTTCGATATTAAAAATGCATACTTAGTCATTAAAAAAGGACCGGGATCCCGTTGAAATTTCAACGAAATTGGGCTTTGGAACTTTAGGCTCAGCGAACTTACTTACTTATTATATTTATTGGGAAGGAATGGTAAATAAATAAAGGCAATAATTGAATTACAGAGAGTTGGAATTGAAAAGTATTAAATTTTCCTAACAAATTTCGAAACATCGGAAACAATCGATATATCGATGTTTTACTGGCGATATATTTAAGCATAGATGTTCATTTTTCCGATGCATTGAAACATCGATGTATCGATGTTAGTCCCCAAAATTTGCATCCCTAGATAGCATGCACCTCTAACTACTGGGCTACGGCGGCAGCATATTGTTGGTCTCCGCAAGTGATAAACGGAAAATCAGAAAGGTTTCTTTCAGAGAGATGCTATGTAGTCACGAGCAGTACTATGGTTCATAACTGAGATTTATATTTGATTTCAATAAATGAATCGGTTAATTACCAATCGGAATAAGTCAGTATTTTTCCGATATGGTAAATTTGATGCAGTTGAACAGAGCTCTTTTAAACGAACCGATCTGCATGAAAATTGTCATTTCAGCTCATTTCCTTTGGCAACACTGCTTTACAGGAAAAATGTGCATTGGATGCCATTATCTAAATCCTATGTAAAATTGCTCGCCGATTCCAAAAATCAAAAAAAAGGGTTTCCAATTATCATCCGCCATCTTTGTATTAGCAAGCTTTTATGTGGAGTTACTCTTTGCAAGTAGGTAATATATCGCACACGATCTTCAAAGGTGATGAAAATTAAAATTATACGTTCGTCAGAAAATTCGAAAAACTATTTCTTAGAACATGCTTATCATATTGGCAAGGAAAACTTTACCTTAGTTTTTTTCAGCAAATTATAACAAAAATTTGCTCCAGCTTTTGCTGAAAGGTAAATAAAAACTCTGTGCCCAGTTTTAATTCATAATTTTAAGAATGCCAAATTGTGAGTTCGGTCACTTTTGAAGATCGTGTGCGATATATTCTAAATATAAACTGGATCAGACCATAGTTGCAGGCTTTCGAAATATATCGACCGCCGCGCCACCCACGGACCGAATTTTTTGATGAGTTATTTACTTCCATGTGGATAATATGCATTTCAAATATGAACCAAATTTGACTGCAAATACAAATATAAAATATCTCGACTCCTGTGCCACCTAGCGTATTTCAAGTCTCTAGCTCATCTGGAAGTTGGTTAAAAATTTATTGCAAGATTTGACCCAAACAAACGTATTTACATACATACGTACATTAGGATGGTCCTTAAATGTAGGAAGCAAATTTTTATATCAGATTTCCTAAGCCTCAACCCCTACGTCGATGCTGCTACAGTCGAAGATATCACATATAAATTTTGGCCCCGATTGGAGACGGTTAAGGCGTGTCGCACAGGGGGCAAAGTTCAGATTCCTCTATGGAGACTCAAACAATTAAAATTATTATTTTTTCCACCTAATATCCAAAACCGATACTAAATACTTTGTCGAAGATATGACATATAAATTTTAGCCCCGATTGGAGTCGGGATCAAAATTTATAGGTTATATCTTCGACTATATGTTCGTCTAGCGCTATTTTTTTCTTCTTTTTCCAAGATAAGTAAAAATAGTCCTTTTTCTTGGGCATTCAATTTTGCATTAGCAGTGCATTAGAACTCATAAGAAATACACTACACTGGTTATCAACTCTACAACCACAAATTAGTTTTTCAGCCACACTAAGTGGCCATATTTTTGCCGTTACTGCTGGATCAATATACACTGATTATTTTACCACAGTTGAATCAGCTAAAACAGTAAAAGCCGCAAATTGCTAATGGGCGATCTATGAAGTAGTACCCAGTCGGAAAAGTAGTATGGCATCACCTGCGTGATAAATAATATAATGTATTTCTGATGCGTTCTCGATAATATTACTGTTAACTATGTAATCAGCATTCTAATGTATTGAAAAGGTACCAAAAAATTCATATTAAAAGTTTTAAGTTTATTTTTACGATTACTACACATTACATTTTCCCGCTGGGCACATAGCCCGCAGAAAAAAAAAATATCAATTGTTAAAATTAATCCACTTGCAGTTAGATTTTTTGTGGGATTTCTGTAAAATAAGTATTTAACTTGTAGTTAACTGTAAGAAGCTAACTTGAAACTAGTTGAAAAGTAGTGCAGGAGCCATGCAGACAAAATCGGGAGATTGTTTTCATTAAACAAGCTTCTATTTAAAACCCGCATGCATATTTTACGTTAACCACATTGTTTTCTGCAATTTACAAATACTTTTTCGACAATACTTTTAGGTCAAATAAAATGTAGATCGAAATTTTATATTATCACTAGATCGCTCTCATCCGCTTCGCTGAGTGTATGAAATTTCTACGTGCTACATTAGGTGTAGTTTATTTTAATTAAACTCAACATACTTAAAATATGCGAAAATCAGGAGTCTTTATATTTTTTAAATATCTTCAAAATATTTTCAACCTTAAACTATCTTTCCTTAAACTACCTTTCTCTTGTGATACTTTTTCATACTTATGCACATGTAGTTTAGAAACGAAGCCATTTAAAAATCCTTTATTTTGATACCCATATTGTAATAACTCATCAAAATGATTGACAATTTAGAATTTTACTCTTAAAACGGTTAGTTCCTATAACACAAGTTGAATTTGAATTTTCAAATATGTGGGGTTCTTGCTATACATATGTTGCTTAGAAATAAACCCTTTAACTCATTAAACATTAAACGAAATTAAACTCGAGTTTTAAAACAGGTGGCAACCCTCTTCGAAATATCTTCGTACTAAAACCCTATTAAATCCCTCTTGTCTGACGTCCATATTGTGATACATATCCCGATTATCAAATTCCTTTAATTCAAGAAGAATTTGATTTATCAAACAGGTGGCAACCCTCCACCATGTAGTTTAGTATTAAAACCCTTATCAAGAACGTTTCGATTGATACCTATATTGTAGTAATTCATTTAAATTAAATAAATTTTATTTTAGAAAGGGTGGCAATGCTTTTAAACCACCTCAGTAATATTTTAAATGTTCAATCTGACGGTTTCTTAGCTATCTTTCATTTGACACCCATATATTAATTTGTCAGATAGCTTGCTAATAATTAATTCAAATTTGGCTTTACGAACAGGTGGCCACCCTTTGCGAACGAAAAACGACAGAACGAAAAATTACACTGAAGATGGCACAACGCCGAAACCGGTTTGTCTGCAAACCAAGCTTGACTAGGGATGACGGAAACTCGTTCCAAAATAAATCATCTTGCCAAAATATTTTCAAACTACAACTTGTTTAAGTATTCTTGTCATCCATCCTTTAATATAATTTTCAGATAAATAATTCCCTTAATTCAAGTCGAATTTGATTTTTTAAACAGGTGGAAGCCCTCCTCCATGAGTATAAAATTGATTTTATATACACATATGTATCTATACCAACTCCAACAAAATATTTTCTGAGATATGGTATACGGTATCAAAATTCCATTTTATGGGAGGTGCCACGCCCCCTCGTGTACAAAAGAAGTTAGTTACAAGTTAGTTGACATCTTGCGTGGCCATCGCCATAGAAATATAGTTAGCTTTCCTCAAAGAAAGTACACAGATAATAGTGACCTTTAAGTCCCTGCCTAGTTTACTGCAAGTTAAATTATAGTTAAATAATAATAATTAAAATAGATACATTTCCTACAGAGTAGTAGTAGTACTTTTGCATACTTTATTATATGCATCATGTGTGGGTATGAATATTTCGTGTCGAAACTGTTATAGTTCTCATCGCTTCAATTCGCTGTTGCGGTTTTTAATAAATGCTCTCAGCTAATCTTAGCGATTTATGCAATTAAACAATGATTTGTCAGAAAATCCAATTAATTTCATTAATTTAATTTCAATGGTGTCACTAATAGGCCCAACACTTTAATGCAATTGATTAACGTAAGCCATGTGTCTGAATATTAATTTATCGATGAACAAAAAATAAGTTTTTATTTTTCAGCGCACATAATTGCACTTAGCCTTTTAAATTAAAATAATATGTGTTTGCAAAAGTATAAGACATAATTTATTTAATAACTCATTATACTAAACGCCTCCTATTTATTCTCTAACTCTTGCAGCACACCAGCTGGGTAGGCAATCCCGGTTTGGAGAATCAACAGCAAATAGGACGCGCAGTGGGCGACCACTTCTTCACTTGTCCGACCAATGAATACGCACAAGCGTTAGCTGAACGGGGCGCTTCCGTGCATTACTATTATTTTACACACGTAAGTAACTAAATACATAAGTATGTATCTGTGTTTACGAGTATAGATGTTCTATACCAGGTACACTCACCAAGCATCACATGGAAAGTCACTAACCTTTCCAAAAATGCCAATAAAATCATGGATTTTCCCATATTCGGTGCGGGGGTATTCTATTGACTTGCTTTTAATAGTTCACTAAAATTGCATGACTATGAATTAAGATGGCTTTTGCTCAATCCTATTACCGAACAAAGTATAAGAAATAAAAGTCTGCAACTACTGCGATTTTCCGCATAACAGCTCCTAACAACCCCGGGGAGCTGAGTGCAAGTATGGCTTAATACCCAAATGTGGGTAAAACCGACTTTGGTTGGTTCGATGTGCAGTTGCATTCCAACCGGGTGCCACAACCAAAGTATGGTAGAGGCTTTAGAAATGGCGTCGAGCCCTACCAAGGTGGGTAGTGTGTCCACTCCGCACTGCCGACTGGCACCGACGGGATCCGCTGGGCTTTTGAGCGCCGTGGGGTTAGGCCGTCGTCGGCAGGTACCCACGTAAAACAACGATAGATTCTATGTGATTTAAACCAGTTTTATGCGTTCCATTGACCAAATGCCATATCTTGGATAAGACTCGGGACAATAGGATCGACAAATACCCTCTACTGTTGATTTCAAACCACTTTGGACAGCACGAAAATAAATTGTCTTTATGCCGCGTTGTCTGAATTTGGTATACCCGCGGAACGACCTCTCCGACGTACGTTCATATATACATACATACAACTTGCCAAAGGTCTATCGCGTTTGCTAACACTGTACTTTGTAGGCTTTTATCGAGGAAAAAACAGCTGTGTGGTATTTTTAACTGGAAGAAAAAATCGCAAGGGCTGTGAACGAAAGAAGAAGGCACATGAATGCGGAGTGGGAGAATGGCACATTTAAAGGGCTGCATATACCGTCGTCCCCCCTGTGTGTATGCTAGCGTTGTATGTCCTCTGATAGTCAAACTACATTATTTGCCCCGGCCACTGTCAGCAAAAATAGAGCAAATAAGAAAGTGTATTTGCACAACGTAATTATTAATGAAATGTACACAACTATCTGCGCAAATATATGTACAAACATACACTTTCATATGCTTTTGCAGCAAAATGCTATCGGCTGTGCCAATAGATATGCTAACAAGTGTCGATAAACTCACTCACTCTTGTACATACATATATACTTATGTACAGACATTGATGTATAAGTGTAAATACATACGTATATGCATATAAAGCTAGCAACACAGCTTAAAAGTTGATGCGAGTTTTCGATTACATTCTTATGTACGTACAAATTTAATTTAAGAAATTCATTTCCGTAGTTCATTAGTCTCTTTGAGTATATTTTAAATAAATGAAATACGGAAATGGTAAATTTGTTATTAATTAATTTTTTATGATAAAAAAGTATATATTTAAAAGTCTTACGTCGTACAACGGTCGGTAATCAAAAACAAAAAGGCCAACAATTTTTGAAACGAAATTGAAATTATTAAATTAAAAATTTTTCAATCAAAGTTATACGATTCCGAAAAAATCGTCTTTGTGAAAGATGGCAATTTTTGGTCAATATCTTAGGCTCGCCCAAACCCATAAAAGGTTAATGTGCTAAAAAATTTAAATTAATAAATTCATTAATTAATATATATTTTTTACAAAAACTGCAAGTATCTTCTAGAGTATTAGTTCTGCATGATTTGGCATATGGATTTTTTGTAGAGTATCGAAGTACTTGAACTTTGATGGACTTGAGCGAGCTTAAGATATTGACCAAAAGTTGTCATCTTTCACACAGATTGTTATTAGAGCATAATGAACCATATTTTTGGTATTACCAATCAAAATTCTAAAAAAGAGGATATCCAGCCCACACTAATGTGTATCAGTAAGCAAGCTTTAATATAAAATTATAGTTTAAAAAACTAAAACCTCGCTATTAAAAGTTCCATTCGTACTGTCATCAGGTTACTTTAAGAATGGAAGTTTAAAGCAATTCCCATTCGTACTATCAGGTATGTAACTTGAGAATGGAAATCACTGCATCTTTTAGGCGCATCAATATTACATAGTTACATCCCGAGCTAATAAAAGCGAGGTAATACGATTTTGTTAGTCGATTTGAGTTAAACAAATGGGATTCAGAAATTGAGGATTTATTTTTTAGCTGTGGTAGTCTTATGGAAATATTTAAAACACAAACCGTAGTTATTTGATAAGTTTAAGTTAAGATAAGATTTATTCAAACTGAAACTTTGCAATATGTACATTAAATAATAGTGCGTTCCATAATTTTACAACGCTCATCTATTGACAATATTCGATCTATGACAATATAACAAAATCGATAAAAATATCCATAACAAAATCGATAAATATCGATAACAACATCGATAAGTATCGATAACAAATCGATAAATATTGATAACAAAATCGATAAATATCAATAACAAAATCGACAAAAATATCGATAACAAAATCGATAACAAAATCGACAAAAAAATCGATAAATATCGGTAAAAAAATCGATCAACTAAATCGATAAAAATATCGATAGCAAAATCGATAAAATTTATCGATAAAAATATCCGTAACAAAATCGATAAAAATATCGATTACAAAATCGATAAAAATATCCTTAAAAAAATCAATAAATATCGACAACTAAATCGACAATTAGATAACAAAATCGATAAATATCGATAACAAAATTGATAAATATCGATAACAAAATCAATAAAATACCGATAGCAAAATCGATAAAAATATCGATTATTATATCGTTAAGTTCTGAAAATGTCGATAGCAAAATTGCTAACAATACCGAAAAAAATTCCAATAAAAAATTGATAAAAATATCGATAACAAAATCAGTAACTCTCGAGAATCGCAAAAATCTTTAAAATCCCAACCTCTCTATATCCTTTCCTCTTTAATTACCTTTATTTTAATCTTTCTTCCCTTATCTACTTCTTTACTTTTATCGGTATCCTAATCCTCTGTTTTGTCTTTACTTTTATGTTTATAATTTTCTTCATCTACATATTCCCCTTCACCTTTGCCTTTATATCTAAGTAAAGTGTTTAAATTTACCTTGGTCTTCATTTTTGCCTTTATCTTTACGCATCTTTGTTTTTGTTTTTATTTTTACATTTACCTTTGTCCTTTTCTCTATCTATGTATGTACTCATCTTGACTTCCATTCTTGAATTGGTCATCTTGACTTCCACTCTTTTATTGGTCTTCTAGTAAGTGTTATTGTTTAACCTTTTATTAGCAAATTTTTGTTAAATTAATACCATATGCATACACACAAGAAGCACTTGTTTCAGCCCCAACCATTTCCCTTGCACCATTTCCGTGTGCAATTTCCGTTGAATTTGCCAATTTATTCCCTACCAACCAACCGCCGCTAAAGAAGTTTAACTTCAAAAACTTTCGTAAAAATGTCGTGCTTTCTAATTCGACTTTTTAGAAATATATTTAATATGCAACTCATTAAATTCTAGAGTGTAAATTTAGAGTAGCTGAGACTTACCGTTGATTATTGGGATTTTTCTTTTATTATTTTTTATTATATTTTTATTATTTTTTATTATATTAAAGCATTCTTTAGCCACACTATGCAAAAGATCTGAAAATCAAGTACATAAAATTTAAGTCCTTTTTCCCAAAAAAAAGGCATCATTTCGGCAATAAAAGTGCTATAATAGCAATAACACGTGTTTCACAAAATTCATGGGAGCTTTTGAAATTAGCGATGGCCAAAGTTGAGAAAAATTAGGAAAATAGGAGCCTTTTCAAATTTAGCTGTTGAAAATTCCTAAAAAATGGAGGATTCATGACCTATAATAAACTTATTTTCTTGTTGTACTCGACTTTACCAGGAACCCACTACTAAGTTTTGTTTCGGGTGTCTTTCGGGAATTTTTGTGTAGCAATCGTCTGCGTAGATTTTGTGCCAAGTTCCAATAGAGCTTAATCTGTTGTGGCGATAAGTGAGCTGAGAATGCAAAATCTTTAATCCGGTCGAGATGTTTTGTGGTTTAACCTATACTTTGATTTTCCATGATTACATATTCTTAATAATAACAAATGTATTTACATACACATGTGCATATATATCTACGTATGAAGGACACTTATAATTCGAATGAAGCTTTCTTTAATTTATTGAAACCAACTGTGTCAAGGTGAAGTCGAGAGGTAACAGCTGCCATTTACCCAAACTGTCCCCAGTCGGTTTAGTGCTGCAAATTGTTATGACCAAAAGCTCGAATCGTTATGCATTTAATATTTCCTGGCTTTTGAACTCGTGGTTTTGTGCATACTAATTTACATACATACACGTACGTATGTATATGTATATATACATATACTGCATATACCTATGGACATATGTGTGTTTGTATGTACATATGTTTGTATATGCATGCATTTATATGTTTGTTTAAATGTAAATTTCTTTCAGTTCATCATGCAACGCCTTTAGAAATTTCACTTTTCCACTTGCACTTCGTTCGACGAAGACATTAAACTCAAGGGGCCCATTTTGCAGTTTGATTTATGAATAATAGATGACATTTGATGAACCTAACAGGAAATATAGTAGTGTTTATGCACATACAAAGCAGGGATGGGCGAAATCAGTAATATGAATAATTGAGTAAAAAAAAATAAGAATACGATTTCATTCAACATTTCAACAATTTTGAATGACGAATAAATTTGTATTCTTCATTCAAGCACTTGCGAATGATAAATAAATTTGTATTCATCATTTAAGTAATTTAAAATAACGAATAAATTTTTATTCATCGTTCAAGTAATTTCGAATGAAGTAATACTGAGTAACACATAATTTTTCATTTGTTCATTCTTTCTTGATCACAGTACCAGGTAGACGATCATGGTAAATGTTCGTGTCGACGTCAACAAGCGAACGATTAAAAAAATATATACCCGATGGCCCGAG